CTGATCCTGAAGGTAATACATATGCAGTTTGTTTTCGAAACAGTGAGAGCCCCACTGAAGTATGGAAAGTTCTTATTGGAAATAAGGTTGGAAAGATAAATTACACAACATTTTGGAGGATCTTGAATGATGTTCTCAGGAATTTGGACTATTTTGTCCAGTAACTGATAGCCATTGAAGATTATTGCTCAAGGAAGCAAATTATTATACTTTTTTGACAGCCAAGTTTCATTTATTTGTGCAATACAGGCATGAGCAAGGATGTTCTAAACAATGTAATGATTTTCAGCATCAATTACAGAATTTCCTCTGATCATTCAATTGGGTTACAGATGAACTTAAACTTCAATTTAAGCTTTGACTTTTAAAACTCCCCCTCTGCTTCCCAGTGAACCAGGATAATTCCTCAAATTACACCCAAAAAAATCTGTCTTGACATATTGGGTTTTGTTTGCCTTAAGAAAAATTTAGAATATAATATGGCCAAGGAGGCTGGAATGAGGTTTTGGATGGCTGGACCACTGATACAAAATCATTCTCGCTTCATTTTTAGGGTTTCCATATTGTAGCAATTATCTCGGAAACATTTTTGTTCACACTTATTTGGATAAACTTTTCTGGAGCTGCCAGGGGCTCTAGAGTCTCAAACTGGGACTGCAATAATTCAGGAGGCATAAAATGTCCCCTTCTTTTGAGTAAGCGTTCAGAGATGACCTCAAATGACCCACTCAGATGGACCACCAGGAGCTGTATCTTAGCCCACTTTGCTTCCCTTCCCGACTCCTTGCGCTTCGGAGCTGCACCATCTTTTCCTTGTGTTAGTATGTCTCTGTACATTTTCTTCAGGCTAGAACCACATGCTGTCCCGAGGCTACATCCTCTGGTCATTGAGCGGTATCCCTTTTCCCATCTTCCTTCGATTTTCCTCCGAGTGATAGTCATCAGCATCATAGAATTTCCACCCCAGCTCAGATGCCAGCAGAGCGCCCACGATCGATTTCCCCGAGCCACTCACGCCCATCACCAGCAGTGCGCCCGGCGCCGCCGTGGCCGGAGCCTATCTCTTTCCCGTCGCCTTCCCGGTGCCCTAGAGGCGGAGCCGCTCCCGTCCTGGCCAGGCCAGTGAGGGCTGTAGCCCTCTGCCGGAAGCAAATTATTAAAGTGGTGTTTTAGAAAGAGAAATATGCTAGAGATACGTGGTCTAGAGAGGAAAACCCACTATATTAGTTGAGTACATTCATATGCCCCGTACTAGAGTACTTTACATATATTGTTTCACTTGATATTGAGAAGCCCAAGCAGTTCGTTATTACAATAAATCTAAGAATTAAGTTCTAAGAGCTTTAGTTGGGATGGTAACACTGAGTAGGAATGAAAAATAGAAGGAAGAGACATATCAAACAGAGAGTCTCTTTTGGGGTAAATGAGGTGTTGCATTTAAGACGAAATGAGAAGTCAAGCGCGGTCAATTCACACCTATAATCCCAGCACTTTGGGAGGCCGAGGTGGATGGGTCACCTGAGGTCAGGAGTTCAAGACCAGCCTGGCCAACATGGTGAAACCCCATCTCTACTAAAAATACAAAAATCAGCCGGGCAAGGTGGCGGGTGCTTATAATTCCGGCTACTTGGGAGGCTAGGGCAGGAGAATCACTTGAACCCAGGAGGCAGAGGTTGCAGTGAGCCAAGATCACACCACTGCACTCCAGCCTGGGAGACTGAGCAAGATTGTCTCAAAAAAAAAAAAAAAAAAAAAAAAAGACAAAGTGAGAAACAGGAGTTGACATTAGGCTTTTTAACCTAGACACCTAGGGCAGAGATGTCAATATAAAAATTGAGCAACAAGATGAGAAGTAGATAAGTGAGACAATGCAAAAAGCTTGGTATTAGGTTTGTTAAGTTTGAATACAAGAATGGACATTTAGGGAAGAAGTCAGAAGTAAAAATTGTTAGGTTTCCAAGTAGGTATATAAATTTTCATATTCCTGGAAGGCTTAATACCCATATACATACATATACTCTGTGTGTGTGTGTGTGTGTGTGTGTGTGTGTGTGTGTGTGTGTGTATGTGTCTTACTTATTCAACAAACTTTCAGCATTTGTCTGCCATGTTGCAGTATAGGGCAGTGGTTAAGACCACAGATTTTGGAATCAAAGTACCAAGTTTTTTTAATCTTGACGCTACAACTGATAAGCAGCCAGATGCAGTGGGCTCAGACCTGTAATCCCAACACTTTGGGAGGCCAAGGTAGAAGGACTGCTTGAGCCCAGGAGTTCTAGATCAACCTGGGCAATGTGGCAAAACCCTGTCTCTACAGAAAATAAAAAAAACTAACTGGACATGGTGGCATGCACCTATAGGCTCAGCTGCTCAGGAGGCTGAGGCAGGAGGATCATCTGAGCCGGGTAAGTGGAGGCTGCAGTGAGCTGTGATTGTGCCACTGCACTCCGGCCTGGGTGACAGAGTGAGACCCTATCTCAAAAAACCTACAAAAAACAAACAGAAAAGCTTGACAAGCTACGTGACCCTAGGCAAGTTACTTACTTTTTTAGTTTCTGTCTTTTAATTTTCTCATATATAAAAATGGGGATTTCATATGTTAGTCGTGCAAATGAAATATTAAGTTAATATATGAAAATACCTAGAATAGTGCCTGACACATTGTAAACAAGCACTACTATGGAAGTATTTGCGGTTATTATCACCATCATCGTCATTTTCACTATTATTTGCCAGGTTTTGTTGAGTACAAAGATGAATAACAAAGTTGCTCACCATCCAGTGGGGGAGACAGAGCTTGATATATAGAGAGATCAATATTTACTTAGATTAAGGGTAACTTAAAGTATACTTTCATTTAATGATTTGTGTCTTTGTGATCTTAAATGTTCTGGAAAATCATTACTATTCATCATTCAGATTAATTGTCTTGAGTAAGTAAGTGACTAGTTTAGGCATGAAATTATACAAGTAGGTGTTTTCCTGAAAAGGTTTTGTGTAAACTGAATGTTGTCTAACTTTATAAATGTGATCGTTTCATCTTAATCTCAATTATACTCACAATTTATTTGATATCGCCACTAATACGCGTAACGTTTACCTTTAGTTGCATTTGAACTAGAAGACTGGCCATTAGTCATTTCGTTTATCATTGTTTAGTTGGGTTTTTCTAATGTTGCGGGGCTGGTGGGCAGTAACTTTAAGCTGCACAAGATACTTTAAAGTAAGCATAAGAATTTATTCTATGTTATCATTATCACTCAAAGCTAAAACAAAAGATTTGTGTTTGTCTGTCATGGAATTAACCATAGATACTCAAACTCCTCATAGTCAGTGAAGCTGTATTTATGAAATCACTGAGTTAGAGTAACTGATCTCCCTTGTAGTCTGTCAGTTCTATGTTTGCCACCACATACCTTGCACCTGGCCTGTAACGAATGTTCAGTAACTATTTGCATAATTGAATAGTGGATGACATTGCTTTTTGTTGTATATATTTATAACAAATACTTGCTATTTTTAATAACTATTCAATCAAGTATAGGACACTTGAGAGGCTTCCCAAATGTTTAGGTTGTTTGCCTGGCTTATTTGAAAAAAATCAAAGCTGAAGTTATTTTGGAAGTGCTAATATGTTGATTGATTTAAGAAGCACAAGTAAGGTCAAAGGATAAAGCCAATACTGAATCAAGAATTTCACCTGAGCTAAATCCAAATTAATTCTCTACTTGGAAATAATGATACAGAAATCATCCATAACCATCCATAACCCTAAAAGTTCACACACAGTGTAATGTGAATAAAAGCTTTGAACGTCATTAATTCATTATATGTAATACTCAGAAATTTATCAGATCTTATTTCTGATTAAGTTATTTTAAGGCTACGTTGTAGGTACCCTTAACCTGAAACTCTTGAAGTGACTTGTGGCTAAAAGCAATATCATATTTATATGTTGAACAACAAGAAGAAGACAGTTCTGTGCATAAGATAATTTCAGCTAATGAAGCATAAAGGATATGAATGAGTAAAATGCAGCACATATACAACCAAAACATAAATAAGAATTTTAACTATACTGTGCTAAAGTGATACTGGAGTAATTAATGTTTCCTTAAATTTCTTAAATTTGTAAGAGTTGAGCTCCCCTAAAAAGCACTGTACATGAATCTTAAAAATGCATACTAAGGCTGGACGTGGTGGCTCACACCTGAAATCCCAGAACTATGGGAGGTTGAGGCAGGCAGATCGCTTGAGCTCAGGAGTTCAAGACCAACCTGGGCAACGTGATGAAACCTCATCTCTACTAAAATACAAAAAATTAGCCAGGCATGGTGGCGCATACCTGTAGTCCCAGCTACTTGGGAGGCTGAGGCACAAGAATTGCTTCAGCCCAGGAGGCAGAGATTGCAGTGAGCCGAGATCATGCCACTGGACTTCAGCTTGCGCTACAGAGCGAGACTCCATCTCAAAAAACAAAAACAAAGATGCATACCATAGCTAAGTAGCACAATAGCTTAGGAGATTTTGTAATAACAAATTTTGTATCTTTTTAATATGAGTATGCTTTTATTTTAATGTCTAATAGTATCTCAAGATAATATTGAAGATACTTTTGTACTTTTAAAATATGTGTTTTTATTTTGCTTTTTTTAGTTTGGCAAAATATACATAACAAAATTTACCTTTTAATTGTGATAAAACTTTTTAAATTATGATAAAATATACATAAAGTTCACCACCTTAAGCATTTTTAAGTGTATAATTCAGTAGTGTTACATATATACACATTGTTGTGCAACTAACCTCTAGAATTATATGTGTATTTTATTAAAAAGAAATAAATGAGTCCTTTGAGATATGGTCTATTCGCAAGTGACTTTATTTTACACATCAAGATGGTATTTTTATTCAAATCAGGAACATGTATCTTGCTAATAAAGATTCTTATTTTGAACAATTATATTAATGGATTTTTGGTGCTCTCTTTTGATTAATAGGAGTGAGCTGAGTCGACAGAAACTTCATACCCAAGAGCTGCTTTCTCAGCTGGAAATAGCAAATGAAAAGGTAGTTGAGGTAAGATAATGACTCCCCTGGGAAGTGCTTTCTGCTGCAGCTTGATACACATGTTATAGAATTTTACCTGAGCCAAATCCAAATTATTTCTCTACTTGGAGATAAAAATACAGAAATCATCCATAACCCTAAAAGTGCACATGCAATATAATGTGAATAAAAGCCTTGACCATCAGTGATTCATCATGTGTAAATAATAAAAAGTAGAGCTCTTATTTCTGACTTACCAATAGACCTTGTGCAGTATTTCAGAGAATGTATTAGGATCCCCTTTATTCTTATGCGTCTCCAAAATTATTTTTTAACCCATTCATCTTATTTTGTTTTAATCCATGACAAAAGACACATCACATAAAAAATACTTTTGCCTCCTAGAATATATTAAAATATATTTAGATTGATGCCTTAAAACTAAAGATAGCAAGAGTTCATCATGTTTTTTTCCTTAAGGCGTTAAAAAAGTAAACAATTTTTGGATTATTGGGGCTTTTTAGATCTCTAGTTCTTCATTTGATGTTATAACTTCAAATGTTTTTGGAATTTCCTTGAGTATATGGTGTACTCTATCTTTGTGGTCTACTATAGGAGCTATAGTAAAATCATTACTCCTAAGCTTCATGGCATTATAAAATCATATGAACCATTTAGAAAACAATAAAGGAATAGCCATTAAAATACTTTTTCATGTAGCTCCCACTTCCAGATAGCTGTTCTAATGAAGTAATTTAAAATATGAAAAAAATTAAAAGAAGATATTCAATACAGCAATGATAATAATACAGAAAGATCAAAAGCAACCAAAATGATCAATAGAAAAGGAACAATTGCATATATTAAGATTCATCCAATCTGAACTGTTCCTCAACCATTATGGTAGCAGTATAGAAGAAGTTGCATTATGTGAAGTCTGATTGTAAATATGAAAATTATTATTACAGATGATAGAATTTCTTCCCCCAAATTTTCTCTAGCATATGATGTGTTTCTTAAAATTTAAAGGCTACATATTTAAACATCTTGGTAAATTGGACCAGCCAATATAGCTCTCTTCATAAAATTTAATTTTGCTTTTGGGCATAATAAGAAATATAATAAGCTCATTTTAGCAGGATGCTGTTATTTCAATATTTTATATTACTTTAATACCCATAACATTCATTCTTATCACTTGTATGTTAGGACATGGGACTATAAGTTTCTGGTTCTTCATAAGAAATGTGTTTTTCTAACTCTTCCTGATTGGGCTTGTATTATTTTCTCATTCAGATAAGTGCCAGAAAAACTGTTTAACAATTCTAGTTGTACAAAAATATTTTTTCAGATACACTATAATCAGACAAGTATGGAGAGACCTAATCCATTTTTTAATTGATAGATTATTTAGACTTGTCTGCATGACAGTATATTGTGATGACTTTGTATTCATGATGCCTGTATAGTTCTTGCCGTAACAAAGTAGTACAAACTGGGTAGCTTAAACAATGGAAAATAATTGTCTTTTAGTTCCACAGGCTAGAAATCCAAAATGACATTGTTGTTTCCTTCTGAGAGCTGTGAGGGAGAAACTGTTCCATGCCTTCCTCCTAGCTTCTGGTAGCCTCAAACATTCCTTGGCTTGTAGATTGTGTCCTCTCTGTGTTTTCAAATTGTCTCTCCTTTGTACATGTGTGTCTCTGTGTCCAAATTTGCCCTTTTATGAAGACACCAGTCATATGGATTATGGCCCACCCTAATGATCTCATCTCAACTTGATCATCTGCAAGGACTCTATTTATAAATAAGGTCACATTCACAGGTACTGGGGTTAGGACACAATTCAACCCATAACAGTGCCTAATAACTCTGTTGACCCTAATAGACTCTGGAGTATGCAGATGTCTTGAGGAACTATACAGAAGCAGCTCATCGCAGGAGAAGCAGCTCATCGCAGGCCTACTAAAGCTCTGGTTGTAAGGCCCAGCAGTCTGTGTTTTCACAGTCCAGGGGATTCTGAAGCAGTGATTTTCACAAATTGAAAGTCTTATTCTTCTGAGTCATTTTGCTTTGAGATTTGTTAATTCACTTTCTTTGCTGGCATGTGAGTAAAAGAAAACAATTTAGTAAGAATGTAAAACCAAGTTTGTATTTTAAAGCTCATAACTTGAAAAATGTAAATTTGGAGATAATGGACTTTGTATTTTACAAGTGGTAAAATGGTGTTCAGATTTTTCATTGATTATTCCACAAAACATCTCCATGTCACATATGGATTTCTAACTTGTTTTCTATTTCCCCTTAATAGAATGAAAAGCTAATTCTAGAGCATCAAGAAAAAGCCAACAGACTTCAAAGGCGTCTAACTCAGGCAGAAGAGAGAGCTGCTTCAGCTTCCCAGCAGGTAGGGAGCATCCTCTTGTCCCTGGAAAATAAACATTTCAAAGATAAGAAAAGTTTTTTAGTAGTTCTCAGAGAACTAATAGTTTATTTTTACTTGATTAACGTATTTTAAAATTAATCCCTTTAATATATGAGGTTGAAGAAGTAAACATTGGAAACAAAAATAAGTGATGCGTGGTGGCTCGCAGCTGTATTGCCAGCAATTTGGGAGGCCTAGGCAGGAGGATCACTTGAGGCCAGGAGTTCCGGAATAGCCTGGGAAACATGGCAATACCTTGTCTCTACAAAATAATTAAAAAATCAGTCGATTATAGTGGCACACACCTGTGGTTCCAACTACTCAGAAGGCCCAGGCAGGAGAATGACTTGGGCCCAAGAAGTTGAAGCTGCAGTGAGCCATGTTTGTGCCACTGCACTCCAGCCTGGCGGACAGAGTGCGACCCTGTCTTAACAAAAAATAAATAAAAAGAAAAGAAATATACTGTCTAACTGTGGTAGCCTCTAGCCACAGGCCACTATTTACATTTAAATTAATTTAAATTTAATTTAAAATTGAGATCCGCAGTCATACTAGTCATAGCTAGTCAGTGCTCAATAGCCGTATGTAGCTAAGGCTATCATATTAGACAGTGTAGATATGGAACATTTCTGTCATAATGAAAAGTTCTGTTACACAGCACTGCTCTAGAATTATATTCTGTCTAAAACTAGGCAGATATTCACTAACAGATTTGAAAGTAGATAATATTGCTTTGAATGCAGTATTTCAAATTGCACTGCCTTTGTTTTTATTTTACTTTTCAGTGGAAAAAATATTCCTCGACTTACAGGTTAATTTATTTAATGCATATTTTCATATGACCAAAAAATCTAAAGTACAATATAAAAGTTATCCAGTGAGAAATAGAGTAGAAAATGCAGAATATCAGTGAAATACTAAGGGATAATTTATCTTAATACACACACACCATTCAAATGAAGTGAGCCTTTGATCGTAAAGTAGGAGCAATGGTCCCTCCTCCGAGGAATACAGTGAGACCAGTTGAGTGGTTATAAAGCTAGACTAGAAACAGACATTTGAAATGGATGGATAGGGCAGGAAGGAAAACAAAAACAAATCAAATTACTATATTATTCATTATATTTGCTTATAAATGTATTATTTCAATCAAAATTAATATTATTCTTAACTACTACAGCATTCCATACATAGTAAAGCCACTCTGCTTACTGAATTCAGTTTATATTCATGATGCTTATAGATTTTTTTTTAAATCTTCTGTTATGAATATGGCATGCCACTTAAAGAAAATTTACTAATAATTTATCCTTTTGTTTCTCTCCCTCTTGAAAGTAATTACAACCTTTTCAAATAATGTTTATTTCTTATGAAGTTATGAATTAACTAATGGGTTAGCTAATTAATCATTCAAGAATGTATTTAGATTATAAGGTAACAGAAGTTAGGTGCACTGGACAGTATCTGGAGAGTATGTGTTTTGGTGTCAGGCAAACCGCTCAGTGCCATTAAGTAGTCATGTGACCTTGGGCAATTTCAACTTCTCTAAGCCTGAGGTTCCTCATGTTTAATATAGGATAATAACACCTCCCTCATATTGTTATTAAAGGATCAAAAGAATTAACACATGTAAAGCATTTCCCATAGTGGTAAGCGGACATTTAGACAGATATATGAGAAATTAAATTTCTTTATCATAATCCTTAATGTTCCATGTTTACCTTTTTTAAGGCAAATGGCAAAGAAAATGCCTATGTAAAATCAACTACCTTGAGTTCTGTAGTGAAAAGGGTACAATTACAGGACATTAATTGTATAACCAATTAGCATCTAGTTTAGTTTCTCCCCTTAAAAAATTAAACCTAGGCCGGGCGCGGTGGCTCAAGCCTGTAATCCCAGCACTTTGGGAGGCCGAGGCGGGTGGATCACGAGGTCAAGAGATCGAGACCATCCTGGTCAACATGGTGAAACC